TTCACTGGGAAAAAATAATACTTGAAAAAAGTGTAATGTCTAGTATTTATCACCTTGGTCTACTGGTAGTTCATTCTCCCTGACAACTATGGAGATTCTTAGGAACTAATATATTGTCTAACACCTACTCTGCCAATGCACTATGCACTTTTCTTGTTGTAGTTAGCTTTAATTCTCACCTGTTATTCTCTAATTAATTTTTGTTGCTCTATGTCTTATGTAACCCATTAGCATGATATTTAAGTTCCCAAACAACCTTTCTGATCTACTCTCTCACTGTTTTTTCTTCCTGTAACCTACATCCTTACTCCTCCCTGTATACACTCCAAATTCCCTGTTACTCTGTCTAGATTATTTTTCCCTAACTAGCGCTCTGCATGCATTTACAGCATCCATCCTTTAGGGCCATCTCTGATTCTCATTATATCTTTTATATGTAACAGTTTTTTCCTTTACATGTGCTTATTCCTTGTGTAACTTATTTATAAAACATTTAATTTTTTTATCACATATGCTATTTGTATTTAAGGCTGTAGTGCTTTAGATTATTGCCCAGCAAATATTCATTTCCTTCCTCCTCTCACTGTGAATAAAAGAACTTCCCTAGAACCCACTGATGTTGAACTTGGTCACTTGACCTGCATTGGCTAGTGAGGTATTGGGAGTCATGACATGAACCAAGGCCTTTGTAGTGGAGCTATCTCTTTATACTTCTGCCCTGGCCATGAGAGGAATATGCCTTGTCTATCTAGCCCACTGGCCCAAGATGGGTGACAGATCTGAGAGCAGACCTGGGCCTAACCCACAGTTTGGAGACAAGCCTAGCCAAGCCAGCCTAAATCAATGGACTCTGCCAGTCAACTTTCAGATATTTGAGTGAGAATAAATGTTTGCCATTTTAAGCCACTGAGTTTTAGGGTGTTTTATTACACAGCATTATTGTGGTAGTAACTGACTGATACAAAGTCTCAACTCCTTTGCTATATTATGAGTTTCTCGAAGCTAGAGACAGCCTGATTCATCTTTTTTCACTCATGCAAAATTCCAAGGCAATTCCTATTACATATTTGTTGAACAAATGAATGGATGAATAAATGAATGATTAAAGAACTTTAGAGAAAGATTCAAGAATCAGGAAGACTAATATATTCATTAGTTCAACAAGAATTTATTGAATACTTATTTTGTGTCAGGCATTGTGCTAGAGGAACAGTATTCAGTGCTAAACAAACCAGACTTGGCTTCTGGATGCTCCTTGGTGGCTTGGAACAGCTGGAGAATCAGGGATTCATAATGCAGTCAATGTGCAAACTCTGATTATCCTTGAATTGCATGCGAGGGCACCAAAATAATCAGAGAAGTGATAATGGATAGAAAAGAGCAGAAGATCCCTCTCTCACCGATGATTCCCATTATCTCAGGTTAAGAGCAAATTCCCAGACAGATGGGAGGAATTTGCATCCATTTGAAGAAAATGGGTAGTAGAAGCTGACCCATGGCATAAAATTGAAATCTATAAGGATAGGTATTGGCTGGTCATTTTCTGATTGCTGAATGACACCTCCGTCCCTTTCCACATTTATGGAGAGACTGTCAGCATGCTGAGCTAAATTCTGTTATCATCTTTAAATCAAAAGCCTGGATCCATGATGTCCAGATCTGACAGTCTGACCTCAATGCCCTTTTCTGAGAGCTTTTCCTGATTATTAGGCATTTCTGTCACACTTTCCTGCCTACCCCACCTCCTCACTCCAAAGGTGTGGCTAAGGTAACTTGTTGCCTATGACTTCCATTTCATAACACAAAGACTTCCAGGAATGAGGATCACAGTGCCTAAATTCCTAAATCATGGAAGGCATCAACAGAGCCAAGACTTCAGTCCAGCTTCCCCTGCCTTGGACACCAGCCACTGGAGAGCAAAATTCATCCAGCTTTCTCTTTAATATCACCTAAGGCTTTTTGTTTGTGTCTATGTTTTTGAAAGAGCAAGTAGCTAGTACAGATGGACTGTGAGAGAGAAAAGGTGACTTTTGCAGAGCTTGAAGGCTGACACTCTGAAAGAAATGCATGGGTATTTCCAAAACTAGCATCTTTTAACTTGAAAGAATAAGTTGGGACTTTTTTGCTACCTTCAACAAATGCCACTTTGATATGCTAGCAGACCCTAAAGGGGACAGCAGCCATAAGAACATAAACTTTTAGGTCAGGTAGACGAGTATCAGCAGACATCTATTTTCTAATCACCGTGCAATGTAAATGTGATAATGCATATACAGCATTTATCACACTATTTATCATATGGCAACAACAACAAAATAGTAACAGTAACATTTATTGACTGCCTATAATATACCAGGCAGTATGCTAAATGCTGTGAAGGTCTCATCTCAATTGGTCCTTTCAACAACTCTGAGAGCTAGGAACTATAAGTATTGCCATTTGACATATGAGGAAACTAAAGCTCAGAAAGGTGAAACCCCTTGTCCAGAGTCACACAGCTAGTAAGTGATGGGGCCAGGAACTGATCTCAGGCGGTCTTCCTCTAGAGCTCCTGGTGACAACCACTACTCCATATTCCCTCTCATCATCAAGATTAGACATACGACACAAGACAGCTAACATCATCATTGCCATCATCATTTTCTTTATCATAATCATAATTATTAGGCTCCATAGCAAGAAAAGTCACTGCATGAGGGTAGTTTTCTGGAATGTTCTTACTGAAAGAAACTGTTGATTGAAAAATAAGGCTGCAAGTTTAAGCGTAGCCTTTGGGGCCAAACTGTAGGAGACAGGTAACAAGGAAGGAAAATGTCTTTAGAGCCCAAAATACTTGGTTCTGACTTCGTCGTACAGTAGCCTTGGCCAGGTACTCCCTGAGTCATTTGAAAAATGGAATGCAATAGATTGTATCCCAGCCCCATTCTTCACCTTTCCCAGAGTCTGCAGCCTTTGCCAGGTGTCTTTGTAGTTCTTCTTACTAAAGATGCAGAGTCTATTTCCCCACCCCTTGAATCAGCGCTTGGCCATGTGACTTGTTTTGACCAACAGAATGAGGCAGAAGTGATGACGGGCCAGCTTTGAGCCTTGTGTGTTTCTGCTTTCCGTCTTATGCTTCTGCAGTCACTAGGAGAAACACATGCCAGGAGGAGCCACCTGGTCTTAGAAGGATGATGACAAACTCGTGGAGCAGAGATCCCCAGCTAAGGTGCTGCGACCCAGCTCAGCTTAGAGCTGAATCCCATCTGATCGCAGACCCATGGATGAGCCTAGCCCAGATAGCTGGTCTCCAGTCAACCCACTGACACGTCAGCTACAGTAATAAATAATTGTTGTCACAAGCCACTGAATTTTGGGGGTAGTTTGTTAGGTAATCGCAGGTAACCAGAGCAGAGAATGATCATACATCCTTATGCCCAGTACCTGGTACACAGCAGCTGTTGAATAAAGAATAGTTCCCTTTCACACCTCTTCAATCAATCAGACTGAAGTCTCAGTTCCTGCCAGTGCAAGTCCCAGAATTATGTGAACATCATCAGTCACACAGAAGCCAGCTCACAGGTTCCATGAATCGATGCTTCCACTTTGGCTCCCTCTGAGGTGGGGTAGTGAAGCAGTAGACACCATGAGAACCTCCTGCACCAGGAGCAAGCAGCTCCACCACCAACACATGACGGCCTGACAGCCTCAGAGCACGCTTTCCCCAAGTAATTATTTCCATTGCCACGACTGGTTATTTCTATGTCAAAGTCAGTTCCCCTCTTCACTCTCGATTTTTCATTTCTATAAAAATGACAGGGTCTGATTTAGCTCTTGGAAGAGGACAGGGAGTATAGGGAGAGATGGAGGAGAAAGACAAGGGAGGGAAGGAACAAAATTACATACCAAAATGGGCTCTGCAAATATAAAGCGCTAATGAAATTTGAAATAACCACAATAATTATGCTTGCGGGGCCGAAGCCTCACATTTCTCACTATGAATATTCATCTCCATGTTATCTTTCAAAGGAATAAAAATGGGGTGAAACAGCAACGTGCGTGTAGGGTGTTGTTTTTTCCTTTTAACTTCTCCTATTCTATTTTTACCTGGACCAAGGCTTGATATTGTCTGTATTCTAATATTCTTTGTTGCTGTGATTCGTGTCTCACTGGGTGTCCATGTGCAGACATCTTAAGTGGAAGATGCTTAAAATGTCAATAAAATGTAAGTTAAAAAGAAGTAGGGGGAGAAAAGCTGAAACAATTCTTTTTGTGGATGCTAAATGGTCACAGGTGGGATATTATTTTGACTTAGATCCTGGCAGGCAGGATCTGGACAAGGGAACCCAAGGCATCTTTTATCAACTGGCATAGATTAGGAGGTTATTGCTAAACTATCAATAGAGGGGTGAGGCTTACTGTCTGAGAAGGTCTTCAACTGGCTCCCAGGCTCAGGAGAACATCCGTGCAGCAGCAGCGGTCACTAAAATGCCCTGTAAATGTAGATACAGTGTATTAGTCAGCCCAGGCTACCATAACAAAATACCACAGGCTGCGTGGATTAAACAACAGAAATTTATTTGCTCACCATTCTGGAGACTGGAAGTCCGAGATCCAAATGCCAGTGGACTGGTGTCTGGTAAGAGCTCTCTTTTTGGGTTGCAGTTGGCTGCCTTCTCTCTGTATCCTCACATGGCCTTCCCTTGGGGTGTGTGCAGCCACGGGGAGACAGAGAGCAAGAGAGAGAGGTGTCTTCCTCTTCTTATAAGGCCACCAGTCTTATCAGATTAGGGCCCCACTCTCATGACCTCATTTAACCTTAATTACCTCTTAAAGGGCCTGTCTTTGAATACTATCACATTGGGGTTTAGGGCTTCATTGTATGACTTTCGGGGAGACACAGTTTAGTCCGTAGCATACAGTATGGCCAACTGTCTCTGCAGGCACTCAGGAAGGTGGCATGAGTTCCTACTGCCACCAAGGAGTTAAAAATGGCTTATATGACCCAGCTATGATGTAACCCCTGGCCTATATTTCAGGGATGAGAGTCAGAATGTCAGCATTGATAATACCACTCCCGAGGGGGTAGGGCAGGGGAATTTGGGCTGGAGGAGGTGGAAAAGGGAGTTGGGAATCACTTGCTTTAGCAAATCCCATGGGAACAACTAGGCCCGGGAGCAGTGAGCCAGAGGGCTTCCTTTCCCAGCTCTCTGAAAAACAGCCAGGTTTGCCTAAGTCAGCGATCAGGCAGAGAGCCCCGGAGACAGGAGAAGGACCTTGGGGAATTGCTGAGTGCCAGTGTGCCCCAGGAGGAGGAGGCACCCAGGTCAGTAGGCTGATGGGGTGTGGGAGGGAGAGAAAGCATAATAATACAGCAAATATTGACACCTTAAGACTTCTCCCAAAATAGCTCTCGTTATTTCACCCATAACTTTGCTTACAAACCTGCATTTTGGTGACTTCATCATTATGGTCTAAAGTTCTTAACTTGGCATTTGTGGTTCTGCTTGCTGTGGTTTCAACTCACTCTTCCAGTTTTTTGAGATGACAGTTATAGCTAACATTTAGGGAGTGCTTATTTGAGACAGCCACTGTTCTGAGCCCTCTATACATATAAACTCTCTTAATTCTGACAACAACCTGAGAAGGTAGGAGTTACTATGCTCTTTTTACAGATGGAAAAAAAATGGAGCCTATAGAAGTTAAGTGGCTCAGCCAAGCCCACATAGCTGGTAAACAGTCGAGCTGGAATTCAAACCCAAGACATCTAACCTCAGAGCCCGTGCTCATAAATATTACAGGATCTGCTTTCCTCATGCACTTTGTATGACAGAATCCCTGGGCTTCTCCCAAACTTGTCCTTTTGGGACATGTGTATTTTCTATTCCTGGGGTGTTCAACCTCATACCGTTCTCTGCAGATTCCAACTCTCGTGAAGATTTCAAGACCCAATTCAAGGGGTGTGTCCTCCGTGAAAATTTTCATGGTTTTTCACGCTGTTAGTGGTATCTACCGATTCATATCCCACTGAGTATTTTGTCTCTTCCTCTCTTGCGGTGATTACCATTTGGGGACTGAAAAGAAAATTAATATGACTGGAGTGTAGCATGTCAAATAATCATCAGATATGGATGCATCAAAGCTCTCCTACAAGCTGGGAGGTCTACACAGGCATGAGATAGGTATGTCTGCATGCCTCACAATCCCTAGAAGAGTGCTCTGCACTTAGTAGTTATATCAGCTGGAATTAGGCTCAGTGGAAAGTAACAAAAAACCAAAAAACAGTGAATTTAATATGATAGAAATCTATCTCTCTCACATAAAACAAGTCTGGAACTGTTTTATGTGTTCTGTTACTGCTACAATGCAGAAATGTTCTAGCAGTTTCTTGGTCATGAGGGACAGAGATTACTTTCATATTTCTGCTTCCTAATCCCTAAGGCGTGGCTCTGATCTTCATGGTCTAAAGCGCTGCTTGAGTTCTAACCATCACATCATGATCTAAGTAGTAGGATGGAGTAAGAGAAGACTTTGTGGATGTGCAATACAACACTTCTGCCTATATCTCATGGACGAGACTTATTACACAGTCACTCCTAACTGCAAAGCAGCTGGGGATGTCTTTTTAGCGGCTTAGTTGGAGGTATGGCCTTCCAGCTAAAAACAAGAATTGTCATTAAGGGAGAAGAGATACATAGGTGTTGGAAGCAACCAGCAATCTCATCATAGTAGGTCCTCAGTAAATATTCAACAACTATTTCTTGAAACCTCCCCTGTGCCAGTCCCTGTGAGAAACACTGAGGATACAGAATTCACCAAGAAAACCATGGTCCCTGCTTACTAAGAATTTATACTTTGCATGGGAAGATGGATAAAACATTACTTACAAAAAATTTGTGATTTGGGCTATGACAGGGTGAGTGCAGAGTGCCCTAGGAACCTTGAAGGAATGGGACTTTGATTGACTGCCCAATGGAATGAATGAATTATTTGCATACAAAGTAAAATAAGCCCTTCATTTGTTCCATTCTAGTAGGTGTAGATGAGCAGGGGAAGACACGGGTGCTGAGGGAATGCAAGTTTGGAGGAAAAAATATAGCCAGACCCACCATCTTCCCAATGTGGTTTGTCTACTTGTTAGATTTTGGACAAATTACTAAGTTTCTTCAATCTGTAAAATGAAATTATATTGACTCTTTTTGGTGTGTGTGTGAGGAAGATCAGCCCCGAGCTAACATCCGTCAGCTCAGCAAAAAGAGGAGGGTTGGCCCTGGGCTAACATCTGTGCCCGTCTTCCTCCACTTCAGATGGGACGCCGCCACAGCGTTGCTTGACAAGAGGTGCGTCGCCTGCGTCTGGGATCTGAACCTGAGAACCCCAGGCTGCCGAATCGGAGCACGGGAACTTAACCACTAGGCCACCCGGCTGGCCCTATATTGACTCTTTTATAGAGTTTGTGGGAGAGCTGACATAGCATTGAAAAACTGTTAGCCTTTTTCTTGGAAGCCAAAGAGAGGCAGCCAGCACCACCTTGCACACCTCTTCCCTTCTTGCTTCTGCTCTCTAACACCAGGCAGAGCCCTCCAGCTTCGACACAAGTCAGTTTTGGATGAAGCTGAGTTTGAATTTGATTTTCTTTTTCCCTGAGTTGACATAAAGGGGTCTGTCCCTTAATTACTAGTCATTGCCCTTCACACACAAGAAATGGTAACCCGCTCAGCCCATCAAAGCGTGCCCTTTGAAATGCTGAACCAGACAGTGAACAGAGAGTATCTGCCAAAAGGCGTCTTTTCTTCCAGAGATAAAAGCAACTTGAAATGCATGTAAGTCCTGCGCCCTTGTTAATTAATCAGGATTCACATTAAAAGCTTAAACATCTTTAATGCCGGAAGCTTGGGGAGCCAGAACTTTTTTTTCTGTTCCGTAGAGGAGAGATGGGTGGACAGGGCAGCCTGAAGAGGTGTGTGTGGGGAGAGGACAACTAGGTCATTTGTTACCTACCAGCACAGAGGTAATAGGCGGGGGGGGACAGGTTCCAAAGTGAGAAGACCACCACGTTCGTGCAGGGTCCACCCATTTATTAAATAGAAATGCAAGACTCTGAACTACCAATGCTTCTGACACAGCTTTCTTCCTAATGTTCATTTGTTCAATAGGAGTTTCCAGTAGGAACTTCTATTTATTCATGCAACATTTGTTTGGTGACCTTCTACAACATGACAGGTTGAGGATACAGTATGAATAAGACACAGTCCCTACCCTCCAAAGAGTCTGGCACAGTGGTTCTTAAATGGGGGTGCTTTTGTCTCCCAGGGGACATTTGGCAATGTATGGAGACATTCTTGGTTGTCTTGTCGGAAAGTGATGCTGGCATCTAGTGGGTAGAGGCCAGGCATGCCGCTAAGCATTCTGCCGTGCCCAGGACAGCCCCCACAACAGAGTTATCCAGTCCAAAATATCAATAGTGCCGAGACTGAGCCAGTGGGAGACAGAAACATTTCAACAAACAATTTCAATAAAGCATAATAAGTGCCACGTTCTAGCAGAAGCAAGTAAGCGAGTGTCAGGGGCAGCCTCCCTGCAGAAGTGGTACATAAGCTGAGACTTTAAAGATGAGTAAGAGTGAAGGGGGTGGGCAGGGACGGGCAGGGCAAGCAGAGGGAACAGCATGTGTGAGAGCCCAAAGGCAGGAAAGCCAGGAGCAACTGAGAAACTGAATGATCAGCATAACTGGAGGGGAGACAGAAGGAGAAAGGGGCAGAGGGGAGGCTGGCAGGCTAACAGGGGCGGGGACTTGGGAACTGTGTTTAGCAATAGGGTTTTGCCAAAGATTAATGCAGAATCGCTGAAGGATTTTGAACCAAAGAGTGACACAATAGAAATTTGTTATAGAAAAATATATTGCTGGGCACTGTCCTAAGTACTTGAGAAGAAATACAAAGATCATCTGTATCTTGGTAGTCTGATAGGGAAAATAAAATGAAATCAGAGAGCTTTGGTACAAATTACAGGTAAAAGAAGACTTGATACAGAGTGGTTTCCATTTACAGGGCCAGGAGAAATCAGTGCTGTCTTAGTCAGTTTGGGCTGCTATAACAGAACACATAGAATGGGTGACTTAAACAACGAAGATTTATTTCTCACAGTTCTGGAGGCTGGGAAGACCAAGATCAAGGTACCAGCACATTCTGTGTCTGGTGAGGGTCCTCTTCTTGGTTTGGAGACAGCTGCCTTCTTGCTGTGTCCTAACTTGGGGGAGGGTGAGGGAGAAGAGAGAGAGAGAGCTCTGGTCTCTTCCTTCCCTTATAAGGGCACTAATCTCTTCATGGAGGCTCCCCCATGACCTCATTCAAACCCAAGTACCTCCCAGAGGCCCCACCTCCAAATACCATCACATTTGGGATTAGGGCTTCAACATATGAATTTGGGGAGAACACAAACCTTCAGGCCATAGCAAGTTCCTTTTGGCATCAAAGGAAGAAGGGATCCGAGTGTTGGACTGAACTGGGGAGGTGACTAAATGGGCTGTGGGGGAGGGAGTTGGAGCTGAAATGGCAGGTAAATTGGCGGAATTGAACATCAAGAATGAAGGGACCAAATACAAAGGAAATGGAGAGATAAGAAGTTGGCCTTTGCTTACTGCTTACCTTGGTCCAGACTAAACATCTTTCAGTTTCTTACATGCAGCAGATTCTGTCTTGCCCCCCAGATGTGCTACTTGGAATATTCTGCCTTCCCTTCCTTCCCAACCATACTTTCATCTGATTGACACTTTCTCAGCCTGCAGGTCTCAGATATAGACATCACCTTTTCTAGAAACTTCTCCATGAATTCCTCAGTCTGAAGATTGTAATTGCTTAATTGTATATTGCCCTATTAGATTACAACCTCCTTGAGGACAAGTGACATGCATTACTGCCCCTTGCTGTACCCCATTACTTAGCACAATCCTAGCCAGTAGCAGGGGTTTGCTAACTGTTTATTGACTTGAATTGAGCTTGGAAGCCAGGAGAATACACACAAGGTGGAGTCTAATCTGAGGAATGGCTCAGGGTCAGAGTTTCAGAACCGAGGCTGCAAACTCAGAGAGTGCTGGGAACTCTATTTATTTGGTGCCAGCTGAATGCTGTGGGGGTTGGCATGGGTGCTTAAAGTTCAAAGCTACACCGAAAAAGTGAAACAAGTGCAGAGATTCAGGAGAAATTATATTTTTTTTCCAGGGAGAGAGGATCCCTGGAAAGCTATGTGCATAAAGTAGGATTTCAGCTTGGTCTTGACCAACCGACACTCTTGGTGCTGCTGTTGCATGGCTGTGTTCTCTCTGCCTCGGCATACATTGATCTGCAAAATTCTTCTCTACACACCACTGTCTCTGTCAGAGCACAGGTGCGGCTTAATGTGCAGAGTGTCACCTAGGTTACATCCCACAGAGGACACCTATTATGTGCTGTTACAGGCTGGGATCTCCAGGCGCATGCATTCAAAGCACAAAACACCTACAGCATATTCAACATGGTGCACATTATGTATTCATGGTCATGAATAGTGTATGTGTGTGCGGATCCATAAAAACTTACATTTCATTCAGAGGCTTAACTTTTCAAAGAACTTCTACAACTAGGACCTCATTTCTTCTGCATAGCAATAGAATGAGGTAGGTGAGGCAGACTTGGGGATGCTCACATTACAGATGAGGCAGGAGGGGCTCAGAGAGGTTAAGTGACTTGCACAAGGCCACATAGCTATTGTTATGCAACTGGGGATGGGACTCGGGCCTCATAGTTGCCAATTAATTAAACCCTTCCTATCCAGTGCAGATGAACTCTCTAAATTGTGAGAAAATTTGTTTGAATGTGTTCAGGCAAACAATTGCTGTTAACTCCACCTCCTGTGGAATATTTAGCGGAGTCTAAAAATAAGATCGTTTGATACATGAACCATCTTTAATTAAGGAGTTGTATCTTCCTGATTGACATTAATTTCTTCAATTATAAAATTCATGTTCTTATGTTTTAGTAATATGTGTTATGGTGAATTTCAGAAATAAATGAATAATTAGTGATAGCATGAACTTACATTCATCTAAAGTTGAAAGCATTTGGTTACATATCCAGCCTATACTGAAATCAACTGAAATAAATCACTAAGGGTTGAAATCCTCCAGGGAAACTGTTTCTTCCCTGAATTGGAACATTAGGCCAAATAACCAGAAGGTTAATAATGAGATTATCTGGGTAATGGCAAAGCGTATGTGCACATGCACTTGTGACTAGTTACACTGAGGTGTAAACACTTTCACCTCAAACTTGAAACAAATGCATTCTTTTTGTTCCCTTCCCCATATAATTTTTTTTGTTTTTCTTCTTTTCTCTCACCTGTTTCTCTCTAAGACTGTTTCCTCTCTGGGAAAGTTTACATAATAAAGCCCCTAATAATGCAGGCTCGCTAGTTCTGAAGAAGAAAGGAGTAGAGATGTGATGAATTAGGCACAAATTCCTTTATGGGGTCTGAAGACTTTCAGCATCGTGTGTTTTCAAGAATTTGTACAAAGAAGTGCCTTTTCATGGCGCTCACGGTGTCTTTATCTTTCACATTCTCTGCTTTATGCACCCTCACACTCACACACTCACACACACACACATGCTTGCGGAGACAGAGGCTGTTCCTACGCAAACTTTGCTGAAACAGTGTTCTCCCACAGATAAATCACTTCCTTCCCAAGGAAGCAAATACCTTTGCCACATGGCTGGAGTGGGCGGGAGGACTCTCCGTCCTGAAATACTCACCCCGTCTGTCAATCATTCAGCACCGTAACTAGCAGAGCCTCTGAATGTTGAGCCGGCAGGAGAGCCGCCCATACTGGACATCAGCAGCAAGGCCCTTTCCACAAGGTGACTACAGTGACCAGCTCCAGGGATAGTCTGAAGGACCCTGCGTCAGGAGACAGATCTGATTAGCTGTATCAGTCCTCTAGCATGACTTCCACGATCTGCCCAAAGAGCATGAGCTTCCCAGAGCTAATGTCACAGATAAATTATGGCTTAGAGATCCCGGAGAGGGCATCTCACACCACCCACATCCCTCCAGGGGAAAAAAATCACACCCAATATACTGATAAGTTGCAAGTATATGAATGTTAATAATGTGCTTCCCCTATTGCACAAAGGAAGAAAACACAGAAATGGGTTAATTAGCTCCTATGCAGAATTTAATTAGAGCATCTTTGTTCGCTCGGCTTCATCCAGAATCTCAATTATCAATCCCTATTTCCAGGATTTTTGAGCATGGACGCAAATTTTCACTGGGGCTTCTCATCTGCAGCGTGGGGTCTCAGCTATCTTCCACATGGCGGTGGTAGCCAATTTCAACATGAAATTTTGATTACTTTGAAGTGATCTCATTATCACAGGGAACAATGACTCTTCAGCACCAAAAAGGCAATTTTTCCTCTCGTATGTGTTTAATGATAAATAGGTTTTTTTAAAGTCCAGATTGGAGCCAGGGCCAGGAACTTAGTGACTTCTTTTTCCATAAGATGAAGCAATGATAAGTGATTTTGATCAATTAATAACTCATTTAATCCTCACAACAGTCCTCTAAGGTAGATATTATTACTATTATTATCATTTGCCAGATAAAGAAACTGGGTCCCACAGAGGTTAAGAGATTTAGCCAGAGACTTGAACCCAGATGGTCTGGATCTCAGATCCACACTCTTAATCATTATGCTCCTATATGTGTCAATAACACAATAGCTTCTTGCTGCAGGAATGCCAGTATCAAATCTATTGGAATAATAAATTGAAACAAATCATTCCTTTTACAGGAAGAATATTATTTAGAGCCTTTTTGATTCTGAATGACAGAAATCAGACTCGTACTTAACTTATGCAAAAGGGGAAATTTATTATAAGAGGGGAGAGGATGGCTCTCGAGGAAACAGGGCAGGGATGCAGCTGGACATCAGAAACAACTGGAACCAGGAATTAGAACAGCGTTAGGACCCTCTCCTTGTCTCTCTTCCTTATTTCTTTCTACTGTCACCTGCACTTTTCTTCTCCATTCTGCCTGTCTGCAGAGTTGCATTCTGCAAGTTCCTGTTCCACTGAGAAGCACACACACATGGATTCTGAACTTTACTTCTCACGCTCTAGGATCCAAAGAGAGACTCATCCAATATTTGCTCCTAATATGTCCATAGAGCCCCAAATGAAAGTGATGATTATAATTGTTATCGCTGAGGACCTTGTAGTGGGGGCCTCTATTGATTTCTGCGTCTGGTACTTGGAACACCTCCTCTCGCCCTACCCTACTCATATGCCTGAAGTAAAACCAGCAGTGTTTCAAAGCACGAGCATTACAAGGGTCCAAAATCCTTCCTGGGCCAGTAAGGAGCTTCCTTGGACTTTGTGCAAATCTGTAAATGCTTCCTGCAATCTGATACTTGAAACAGTATCAGGAAGTAGGCAAGGTGGGTACTATTACGATTACTCATTTTTTAACAGAGGAAGAGACAGAGGCTCAGAGAGATGACAATTCTTACCCAAGTGTGTACTGCTATCAAGTGGCGAAGTTCTTTGTCAACGACTCTTTATACAACGGAATCAAAATTCAGAATTCAGGGGCTGGCCCAGTGGCATAGTGGTTGGGTTCACACGCTCGGCTTCGGCGGCGCAGGGTTCGTGAGTTCGGATCTCGGGCGGAGACATGCACGCCGCCCATCAAGCCACGCTGTGGCATTGTCCCGTATACAAAATAGAGGAAGACTGGCACAGATGTTAGCTCAGGGAAAATCTTCCTCAATAAAAAAAAAAAAAAAAAAAAAAAAATCAAAATTCAGCTTTTGGCCCTAGTCTATCCTAAAATGGAGAATCCAAAGGCAGTACACCCGATTTGAGGATTAGGAGCCAGATCTCCTGACTTCTGGTCTTGCCACAAAATATTTCTCTGCACGTGTAAGGGGTCTGAAGCACACGTTATTTTGTCAGCCTAGGCTTCAGAATTTAACCTTTTTCCTAGAATCCTTCCGTTTTTGGCACTGAGCACATACAATTTTCTTTTATTGTTTTCTACTTAGCTCCTGTTTTCCCTGCCAACTCTGGGTTCTGAATAAGTAGCCAATGTTGTAGATGTCAAAGCTATTGAATGTTCAGTATCCCCACACAGAAGCCATGAGTTTCTTTGATTCTCCCCTACCTTCTTTTAAGAGTATTTCCTCCACTTAACAACCTATCAGTCATTGTCATCAAGGAATACATATGGGGACCCACTCCTTGGAGCTTTACACTGAGCTAGGCACGGCTCTCTGCAGGGGTTCCTGCAACACATTTCCAGGGAAATTAGAACAGATCTCTTGGGTGAACGGTGTCCTACAAATCATGAATATGTAGTTAACCAGCTGTACAGCATCTCTCACTCTAAGGCACAAAAAGTTGGTTTTAATTCTGAATTGAAAACAAGAGAGGTTCAGGTTGCATCTAAAAGAGAGATTCTTGGTCACCCAGGAGAAAAATACTGGCATGAGCCACTCAATGAAGATGTTGCATCTTTGTCCGTAGAAACCTGTACTAGTGCTGGCTCTTGTGGAAGCCAGCCTCCAAGGTGGCCCCCAATGATCCTCACTGCCTGGTACTCATGCCATTACATAGTCCCCTCCCACCATGAATAGGGATGACCTGTATAACCAATAGGATATTACAGAAATGACAGTGTGATAATTCTGAGGCTGGGTCACCAAAGATATGGTGGCTTCTGCATAGACTCTCCTTGATTACTTGCTCAGGGGGAAGCCAGCTGCCATGTCATGAAGATACTCAAGAAGTCCATGAACAGGCCAGCATGGGGAGCAACTGAGACCTCCTAGAAAAAGCTAGCAAGAACTTTCAGGCATGTGAATGAGCTACCTTGGATGTGAATCCTCCAGCCCCAGTCAAGTCTTCAGATGACTGTAGCCCCAGCTGACATCTTGACTGTAACCACATGATAGACTTTTGAGCCAGAACTACTAAGCTAAGCTGCTACCAAATTCCTGCCCCACAGAGACTGTGAGATAATAAATGTTACTGTTATTTGAAGCCACAGAGTTCTGAGGCAATTTGTGATACAGCAATAGATAACTAACACAGCTTTAAAATCCTGCTCTGCCTATATCCCCTCTTAGAGAAGCTGCCTTTATAGAACCCGTAATGATTGAGCACAGCTGTGCTATGTGCTCAGCGACCTCCTTAGCTTGACTATAGCAGAGTGGAACAGGCAGCCAGGCACAGACACAATCAGCTTCCACTTCTAGGAGTTTGAGTTTGGGTAACTAAAGACTGAGTCAGTAATTGATGGGTGCTGCTTTTGAAAAAGAAACAGAGAGTTGGGGGTTGTAGCAGCCACTAGGAGCCAGGGACAAGCAGAAGGCAGAGGATGCTTATAACTGAGAAAGAAGGACAAGAGGGAAGAAAAAAGCAGAGAAGAGAAACACAGCAAAACACAAACGAGAAAGTAGCAAGGATCTGAATAGACATTTTTCAAAAGAAGACATACAGATGGCCGACAGGCATGTGAAAAGATGTGCAACATCACTAATTATTAGGGAAACGCAAATGAAAACCACGATGAGATATCACCTCACACCCGTCAGAATGGCTATTATTAAAAAGACAAGAAATAACAAGTATTGGAGAGGATGTGGAGAAAAGGGAACCCTCGTACGCTACTGGTGGGAATGTGAACTGGTGCAGCCACTATGGAAAGCAGTGTGGAGATTCCTCAGAAAATTAAAAATAGAACTGTTATATACTCCAGCTGTTCCACTTCTGGATATTTATCCAAAGAACACCAAAACACTAATTTGAAAAGATATTTGCACCCCTATGTTCATTGCAGTATTATTCACAATAGCCAAGACTTGGAAACAACCTAATGCCCAAGAATGGATGAGTGGATAAAGAACGTGTGGTAGATACACACAATGGAATACTACTCAGCCATAAAAAGATGAAATCTTGCCATTTACGACAACATGGATGGACCTCGAGAGTATTATGCTGAGTGAAACAAGTCAGACAGAGAAAGCCAAATACTGTATGATTTCATTCACATGTGAGGGATTAAAAAATAACAACAACAAACAAACACATAGACACAGAGAATAGATTGGTGGTTATCAGAGGGGATGAGGGAAGGTGAGAGGGCAAAAGGGATAAAGGGGCACATTTATATGGTGACAGATGGCAACTAGACTTTGGGTGGAGAACACGATGCTATCTACACAGAAGTCAAAATATAACGATGTACACCTGAAATTTATATAATGTTATAAACCAATGTGACCTTAATAAAAATTAATTAAATAATTAAAAAAAGAAAGTAGCTCCGGATCCTGGTGGCTTCTCAGTGCCTCTTCTCAGGGAACTTGACGCCATCTCTGAATTGCCAGGTCTCCATGAAATTTCAGACCCCTTGATTTAAAGCAATCTAAGATGCACCCCAAAGGATCCTGATGCAAAATCATCTTCAAAAGTTACTAGCTGACCATCTTTCCAGATATTGGGATATTTACCTAGAAGACAGGGTTCTGGAGTCAAGGTCTTAAGAAGCAGTGTTCCATGGAGGAAATAATGTATTTTCTTTGTCATATCTTCATCTTAAAGGCAAATAAATGACTTAGAGAAAATGGTTTGCACACAGTCCTATCGTGCTTTAAAGAGATAATGCTCTCTCTTTCTTGCATCAAGTGGAGACATAACTAAGAAAACTATATGTTCTGTAGCTGGCTGCCTCCTCCTTTCTACTAAGCCTGGGTTCAACAACAGAAGAGATTCATGTAGCTTTGGAACAATGATCTTTCCCCTCTGAATCCCATGACTTGCCATGATGGATAGCTAGCTGGAACAGCAGGTTTTAGGAGAGATGTCACATCCCTGCACTGTGTATTTGTGTGACTCTTGTCTCAGGGAGAGAACACTTCCTTGAGGGGTCCTGAATTGGCTCGCATATTAATTTGGCTTTGAGACTGAGCCCTCTCTGTGCAAAGGAGCACTGGTTAGAAGCTTATATTTTCCATAAAACAGTAATGCTAAGTACCCAGATTATGTTCCAGCTTCCTCCTCTGGAGAGATCTCACAAAAAAGAATCTTTATATGTAAAAAGTGTTGAGAGCTCCCTTTGCTTTCCATAGCAAAAAAGTGTAATAATAGACAATATATTTGCACCTGAGAACATGAGGTGCATAAGGTACTCAAGGCCAGAGGCAGTCAGATAAGGAAGGTGTCTGTGGGGATGGGTGCAGCTGAGGAAGTCTGTACACAGGAGGTGGGGTATGAGTCGCACCTTGCACAGGTCAAGAGGTGCGAGGTGAGCCCGGCAGACCAGAGAGGCAGAGGAACGCAACTCTTGCGTTAATTTCTAAAGGGAATCTGATGATGTTTGCATCATGAATACAAAACGATGTCTTCTGCAAGGAATGTTTCATGCTTCCATAAAAAGCCCATGTCTCTGTGATTTTATGGGAGAAATTCTCCATAATGGTAAGGGATTTCTACTTACAGGGAGTTTTTAAGTGAGTTGCAATGATGTGTCTTCAATAAAAGAAGAAATGAAACATCCGAGACACTTAGACGAATGGTTGTGGAACGTGTAACCATCTTCTTTTTTGGTCTCTATGGAGAACATTGGTTGTCTTATTTTCCCTCCTGCTTCTCAACCTAGGGGACTTAAGATTTTAGGGTCACCTCTCCAGCCTCAACTTTGACTATTCCCTCTTCCAAATCTATTCCAGCTACATTGAACTATTGCTGTTTCCCATCTCCAAACTTATGCAACTGCTTTTCTGTCTGTCTTGAACGCTCCCCTGGACCTCTCTTTACCTGGCTAACTTCTTTCCTTGTTTCAGAGCTCAGCTGAGATATTAATACTTCTGAGAAGCTTGTCATGTTCCCTGCCACTCTCCATCCGCCCAAATTCTAGAGTAGAGATCTGTAATGGATACTTGTCATGGTTTTTTGGCTACTCAGCAGCTTTTGGACATACACACATTCTCTCTCTCTCTGATTGGGCAATGCCTTGCCTTATTTGATTGGTTACGTCCTAGCCTGACCAAGTGGACACACCCAAGTTAGACCTTGAGTAGAAAGTCAGTGACATAAAGAAGGAGACACATACAAAATCTCTTTCCTGGTGTGGCTGATAGAGGCATCTGGTGTTCAGGCCACAGGAGGTGGAAGTTCTGGTGTCCAGCACCCAGGGCCAGTGGTATGTGCTGCCATCTTTGGTCAGGGGGCAGAGGTGGGGTTTGCTGGCACATTCCTACACTGCGGTTTGGGTGTTGTGTGGTGTACAAGTCTGGCTCTCTGTGAGCCACCTTTAGTCCATTCCTTTCATCAATTCCTTTCCTGCTTAGATCACCTAAAAGAATTGTTTTCAGCTAAGGACCCTGACTGAGGGGGTACCCCCTCCTCTGTGCCCCAACAGAGACCTGAACTTCCCCTTCACTCCACATTCTAAGGTCTTCTGTCTGGTTATCTGTCTTCCTATTTATCCCAACAATGTTCTGAGGGCTGGGGCCAGGTATGCCTTCTTCATAATGATATTCTAGTTCTTATTGAGATGCCTGGCGAAATAAATATTTACTGATTAAATAAACACACAAATGAAGAGTTTTTCGAGTTCCTTTTGCCATTCTCTGATTCAGGAGGACTCTGTCAGCCATGCTGTCACCTGGAATGCGTGAGCCCCAGAGGACATGTCTGTGGGCACCAGGGTGTCCTGGGCGAGCTGGTTAGGATCTGAACAGGGGTGGACAGTTATCCAGAACAGCCAGAAATAAAACAGAGGCACCTGGACCTAAAGAAATAAACAAGCTCATTACCAGGCAAGCTCAATAGCAAGGACTCCTGTTGGATTCAAGAGGTGAGTGCAAGTCCCTGGACAGAGAATAGGAAAAACCAGGGCCAGGAGCAGAGGATGGAAACAGGCTTCAGGGGTGCAGGGTCAGGTGGGAGAGAGAATGAGCAGGGCTTAGCTGGTGATGAGTAGGGGCTGGGAGAGGGAAAGCTGTTGTGCAATGAACTTGAGGTGGAAGGCCTGGGTATGTGCCATGAATGGAAAGAAAGCTAGTGGGGCTGAGGGTAGTGATGAGTTCAGAGCTACTGCAAAAGTAAGGCCCAGAGAGGTAAAGTGACTAGCCTAAGGCTGCACAGCCAGTAAGTGGCAGAAAGGAGATATGGACTCAAGCCTTCCTGATTCTAAAGCCTCTGCCCTTAAACACTAGGTTACAGTGACTTGAGGCCATATCTCAGCTTAGTAAACATATGTTAGTTTTCTGACCTCTCTTGAAGTTCAAGAAGCCAAATGAGTTTGTAGGAGTGAGGAAATGAAAGAAACTTGTCTTTATGACACAGACAGTGCACGACAGAGCTGGAACTGGACTCTAGATCTCTCAGCTCATCCCAGATGATGATCTTGCTTTGGGAGAACAATCTAGGAATATAACACTGCCCAAATAGATTGGGGGTGGATGTGGGAGGAGGGAGGGGATACCAGCAACTGGCTCTCCAGGTGGCCCCCCATACATACAGTGCTCGGAAAATATGATTTTTGCAGAGAGTTTGCAAGGCTGGTGATTAATGTCTTGGGAGTCTGGACGAGCTGCTGCTATCCAAAGCCAGCAAACCCTGTGCAGTCTTGCTGCTCACTTACCTGACATATC